AAACATTGAAGCAATATTTTCTCAATGTTGTACAGCAACTTGCAACATAGAGCAACATAGGCAACATTTCGAAAACGTTTCATCAATGTACTGTGTTACTTGGGTTTGATTGGCCACTCGAATGGTCCGTTAACACGTGTGCCACATTCGCCATGGGGAAGAACGGTGGTTCCAAACCCCTTGGCGGTCAAACGTGGTAGAAAGTCCTGCTTCATCACGTGACTGCGCGACGAGGTGAAACGACGAAGAATCGTCTGAAACCCTACGAGGACGACGCGGGGAAGAACTGCAAGTTCGTACAGGAACGTGCTAGAAAGAAAATGGAGCGGCCGAACGATACCAGCATTCGTGCTTTCCTTCGCGAGCAGGAACTCCGATATCGAAGGCGATGTTCATCATCGCGGTAATCGTATCCATCGAGACGAGGAATCCAGACGACTCCGGTAATTGGATTTCGGGAGTCGTAAGGTACGCTGCGGATACCGTCTCCGTGTTATTTCTTCGGAGACTCCGAGGCGACGTCCTTGAAAGTGTCGAAACCGGGGCCGTTTCGACGGAGAACCCCATGAATTTAAATGAATTTCCGCTCGAACGAGGAGATCGGACCTCGCATCTGCATGATTCCGGCCGACACTTTGATTGCGGGCTAGATGCGTCGCACCCACTCATTGCGGGAAGGAAAGAAGGCCTCGGATTCATGCATCTCATTCTTCACACGCGATGCGAGATGAAAACGAGGAAAACAATCCGGAGGTGAAGAAACGAGATGGTTCGGAATTTCCGAGAACCCATCTCTCCGTCATCTTCTCGCCTCCTATTATCGGCAATTCTTCATTCATCCGAAACTGGTGATGGCTTCGTCGAAAAGGCGAAGGAAGGCGAGATGCCCCCAGGTTTACCATGCCCCCACGATCCACCACGGTTCCCCACGATCCCCTTCGATCCCGATCCTAGCATCATCGGGTTTTTCCTGACTCCTTTCTTCGCCGCACGGTTTTCCTCATTTTAGCAATACGTTTCGCGCTTTTCGCAACGAAAACAAAATGATTGCAGCTCATCCTTGGATTGCAAATCGAGGCTTATGATCAACTAGATGCTGAACGTTAAAAAAATCCCGTTCCGTCTGTGTACGTCATGCTGGAAGTGGGACATGTGATGGACGATGGACGAGAAGGGACGACGAGGGACGACGAGAGACGATGAGGGAGGAGCACTCCCTCGTGGGTGCTCGAGTCGGGCAGGAGGGAAGGCCTCGACCGTAATCGCGTGGGACGAAAACAGGAAGAGACAATCACCGCCCGTGTGACGGCTTGTCACAAATCACGTCGCATCTCGTCCCATTTCGCGATGTCCTTTACGTTGATGAGCATCCGACGCGTTTAGGGCCAGGAGTTGTTCTCCTGCCGACGATCGTATCCGTTCTCCGCATTCCGAGGGGAAAAGGGACAAGGGACAAGGGACAAGGGATAATGTGTGTCAGTCGATCGGTTAAAACTTGTTCGTGTGTCATCCGACACTCTTTGACCCGTGTCACTTGCAGGAAGATGTGCCAAGCGACTCGAGCGTGTCGAGATTCGTAACGCATTATTTCGCGTCACCCAGGCGATGTTCGGACGCACTTTTTTGCGTCGTTTGACGCACTGAAAGTTTTCGGTTTCGGGGATGCTTTCTATCGCGAGAGACACCCGAGACTCGTGCGTCCATCTTCGACGAATTGCGTCCCGTAACGTTCGAATAAAACGCATGATTAGAATTTGGAACGCACACGTGTATAGGAGATAAAATAAAGGAGGACGCTCGAGGACGCTCGTCCGAGGAGACCCCTCGTACAGTAGCTCAGTCTTCCCGTTCGGGCTCCGGGTCGACCCGATCGATCGAAACCAGACTCGCGGGTCGGCCGGTGAAGTTCGTTCGGCAGCCGGATCGAGGGTCGGGAGTCGAGCGAGGACCGACCGGGCTCAGAGGGCCGACCGCGTCGAGGGTGGGGTGAGGGCCGACAAGGCCAACGCTGCAATCGAAGCGATGGAGTCAGCTTCTGAAAAAGTGGCCCGTAGAGACCTCTGAGGGGTGGAAAGATCCGCAAAGCGAACCTTGCCTGCCACTATAAAGATGGGGTCGATTGGGCCACACGTTTAAGGTAGCAACGCCCCTTTAAAACCAATGCGGCGAGTTTCAGTGGTGTAAATCAACTCTGTATATCAGGTTGGAGGCCTCGAAAAACTATTTCGATTTCATGCATAATTTGCATAAATTATGCTAATTAGGTGTCACTATAGCCGCCGTGAGTGAAAAAAGTAGCTATATTTCAAACACGATATATTAAATATCCTTGAACTTAAAAATATTCGACCGATTGAAAATTTTTTTTCCATTTTTCCATTTTAATTTAAAATCTTTTTTAACATGTGGTATCCAAGGGTCGGTATTAAGGAGGTGTAAAAAGAGACAATACTACATTAATTAGTTAAAATTACACCTAATTAATTAAGTTTCATTATTTTTTCCAACGGGAAACCAATTTTCAGTGTCTGAAGTATAGTTTGAGCCAATTTTTGCGGAAACGATTTTATTTCTAAACATTTTTTTTAAATGGGGTATTGCTACCTTAACGCATTACTGTATCGAAGAGGCCCAATCGCCCATCGAAAGTGATAGAACGACGATATCACTCATCACGAGAGATAGAAAAGGAGGCAGAGACGGACATCACCTTCTTCTCCGTCTGAAGATTTCAGGAAATATACTTTTAGGAGAAATTCCGGGAGGAATACTTTTCCTGGAAGAAACATTCACAATAATTTTTTTCTCTTCGGTGAATCGGGCAACTGTGGAATCCTGATGAATGTTTCAAAAGTGTCTGTTGGTCCGATCGATTCATATTCCAAAGTTTATTTTGAACTGTCGTTTGGCAAAACCATCATTTAAAAAATGCATTTGGAATTTCCCTCGCTCACATCGAGCTTCGCTGCGATGTGAGCGAGGGAAAAGGCCCGGAAAATGGGTCTGCCCAAAGTATAGACGTCGTCCAGTTTGTAGGTGCGCGCCATCGGTGGCGGTCGGAGCCTGATCCTTTTGCGAAACGACGGACCAGACGATGGATGAAACGCACGACACGGCACGATAATAGCGGAAGATGCGATGGGAGCTACCGAATGCCATCTTGGAGGGGATCCCATCCTCTTTTTCCTTCCATCTTTCCACAGAACGGCGATCGGCAGCAATTCACGGAAGCCTTAATGGAGCTCCGACACGAGGCATCGATCGATCTCTCCGCCGTTCGGGCCGAGAAATGCCGGCTGCGAGGTTACGAACTTCCGAGCGGAATCGAGGAGGACGACTATTTTACTATTTTTTTCTTCTCCCCCAACGACGTGGCAATCGGTCTCAAAGCAAAGCATTCGGATCGAGCCCGATTCTAGACGCTAAAGGGTGTCTTTAGGTCTAGCGTCATGGCTTCTCCATGGTCAAAGACCAATATCACCTAGCATTCCGGCCGTGATTTCATATATTTAGCAGCAACACGAGAATAAAATCTGCGCGGCGGAATGGTTCGAGTGTGGCCTTCGTCATGGGACCAGCAAAGGACCTGTCCGTTCAACACCACTCGACATTCCAAGTGGATCGCTATCAATTTCAAGGGTAGCGACGGTGAAAACTTTATAGCGCACGTCGGGTGTGCCTACTCGAACCACTTTTTTTCCCGATCGTTAGGAGACCCGTTTGACCAAACAATCTATCCTGGCTGCGAGAAACCAAATGATCGCACTGGACCTACTGTATGTAACATTTATAGCTACTTATAACAGCGATTCACTTCGAATGTCGAGGGGTGTATGGACTGTAGCACGCACAGCATCGACTCACAGCTATGAAAATGTCTCTATCTATAATTGTCGTTTCTTACCGTGCTGGGGTTTGGAGAGGAAAAGTAGGCTTCTCATAAGCTGACACCATACGAAGTAGTCCAGATAGGCAGAACCTTCGGTAGGCCATGGTTCATTTCAACTTTGTGTCTAGTCGCAATCCAATCTAAGTACAATTCAATCGTCCCATTTGTGCCATAGTTCCGGTCGACTGAAACTATTACTGGACTGAACTGAAACTGAGATTTTGTCATCCATATTCTGGTATTGGTTTCTCAAATGTTCGACAGGGAGACTAAATCGTACTACAGTCCTAATGGCACCTCACCTGTGCTTTGTACTTCGGTCGACGAGGCCTCGAGCGAACTACAGTCTGACTGCAAGTGCAAGACTGCACTGCAAGTTTCCAAAGCTCCCATCCTGTAAATGGAACCATGAACCGGGTCAAAACAAGGACGGCAACTGAATCTCACCGAACTGTGACTGAACACAAAGTTGAAATGAACCAATGCAAGCAGGGGGCCACTCTCTCATGGCTTCATCACACCCAGGGACTGCATATGGAAAAACCGGTTTCTCGTAATTTTTTTTACATTTTTGCAAGAGAGGAAGGAAGTTAGGAGTGACTCAAGTGTCTTTTGTCTCCTCCCAAGGTCGCACAACTCCTTTGAGTTTGAACCCCAGAAAATACAGAGCAGAAAAACAACCCTGAAACAGTTTCCAGCAACATCGAACGTTCTTCGACTGATCTTCATCCCGTGAAATTTTCCTCATTTTTTTTTTAGAAGCGGGTGGGTGGACGAATGGATGGAGGTGTGACGAAGTAGGAGGAGGGAGGATGCGAGAGGATATAAAAGGGGACGGGACGCTGGCAGAGTCTACTCCAGCAGCCGGCCTCCATCTTCCAACATCCCCTTTCTTCCTCTCATTCTTCCACCGACGACGTGAGTATCTACTCCACTCTCGAGGCACGCTCTCGCATTACATGTCGAATCACTTCGAAAATGAACTCCTTCCTAAGTTTGGTTTGATAAAACGATGCAGCGGGTGCAAATGGGATGTTTTACAAGTGGCAAGTTTGTAAAATCGAAGGTAACTTGATACTTTGCAGCTGTTTCCATCCAAATTGCAAAAAAATCTCACTTCTCTTCCTTCCTAGATTAGTTCACCGTGAGTCGTTTTACGCAATATATTAGCTCATTTCCATGTCTCTCAGATCATCGTTTCTGACACTGTCTCCTCCCCGAAGAAATTTTTTTCACACTTTCCCCAGTACATAATTTTCATCTCAAAAAGGATGCAACTTTGCAACTTTTCTGCTTCTGCAACAAAAGGTAAGTCAGACTGAATAGGAAAACAATAATTCCAAACTCAGGTACCATGGAACCGAGGAGTATTAGTTCCTAGTCCTCTGAACATTATTGGCATTGAAAGAAAATGACATTCTAGTGCATGGAGCGATCTGTTCTTGACCCGAGTTGAGAACGTTGGATTTTCTCGATCTTGTCATGAGACATAGGTCGACTGCATCACGTATCCACTTTCGCCTGAGATTTACTGCTTCATTTTGTGTTAATTTTTTTGCCTTACTTTACGATGAATTAGGAGAACCTCGAGCTTGCCGGTAATGCTTTGATGGAAAGAGAGATGCAATGATTTGTGGGAAAGTGCTTCAACGCCTCTTTCGCAGCATCGAAGGGTCGCAACTTTTCAAAAGTAATTGTTATCGTTATCGTTTTGGAGAACAGCATGTGGCTCTGCAGAAGAGCGAAATTTTCATGAGGAAAATGTGGAATGTAGATTGCATTCGTAAAATATTTCTACAACATCATGTATTATATCCTTTAGTGATGTCGAATGTTGAAAAGTGAATGTTGAAAATCGACTAAAGCGTTTCTTTTGCTGTCTCTCTCCAACTAGTACAGCTAGTTGGAAGAAATATTTGCCGACGCTTCTTATGATGTTTATTGGCAGAAATAATATTCAATGCTTTTCGAAAGGTCCCAAATCATTTTTCTTTTGCACTTGTGCGAACAACAATTTCGCTCGCATTTCTGGAGCAATCACATCGAGGATGCAGCAATTATAATAGCATAAAAATAAAAGGATTTTCAGCCGAAGTTAAGCGGGGAAGGAATTTGACCTTTTCTGTTTGCGACAGGAGCCCATGACAAGGGTCCTCAGTAGAAGTCGACAAGAGATGCATAAAACACATATTGACGACGGTGCACCTTATTAGTGGGCTATTGCAAGCAATTACTGCAAGGACCACTCAAGGACGATTGGATTCAGATTGGGGAGAGGTAACACGAGAGGAATGAAAGGGGAATTCCTTATCCTCGAACGAATAATGGCTCGAAAGGCACGAAGGCTCCACACGAACTTTCACCTTTCGGGTCCATCTTTCGTGATCATTTTGGATCGAAGACAAAATCGTTGGGCTTTGCCTGACATTTCCTTTAAGATGAGGTACTTGTATTATAAATCCCTGTCCCACGCTTACCGTGTGCTGCAACATTTATGCATGTCAGATGTCCCTCTTCTCACGTTCCCGACGACCTCGGTTGTCTCTCTCTCGATCCCTTCAAATAAATCCCCATTATTGGCTTACAATTATGAGGGAGCGGGAGATGCGTGACTCAACTCAACCTTAAAGTTTCATTCCTCATCACAAATGAGATTAATCTAAAGGAAGGTAACGAGCACAAAGAACGAAGGAGACAATACACGTTCTGAAAGGGGTAATGATGCCATGAATCACATGGTATTCGTTGTCGTCTGCCGACCGTAGTCGACGACGGCTCTCACGGCATCATCGCTTAGCAGAACTACGCTCTCCTCGTCCTAATTACCTGTTTTGAACTTTTTTCCCCATTACGATGGAAATTCTTATGCTCGGGGTTACGGTTAGTAACTCCGCTCGGGAGCTTTTCTGATGGTGAGGAGGTGACGCCATCCAAACGATTTCTTTTACTTCGGGGTCGATGAATCGAGCAAGGGGTTACTTTGGTATGTAGGGCGAAAAGAGCTCTTCCTCTGTAATGCAGTGTTTCTCATGAGATTACGTGGTGTATCGGGCCTCTTTCAAGCGTTTGGTCTTCCGATGTTTGCCAGAGGATGAACTTGGACGCTCTCGGGACGCTGGCCGTCCTCGTAGTTGCCTGTGCCCAGGCAACGGCTGTGATTCGTCCTCACTCCCCCTTCCAAGACGTCCTGGATATACCCCATCCCAACGATGTATTCGTACAAGAAGAGAAGAAACCGGTTGGACACCATCAGTACGTGAGGGCTTGCGGGGACGGCCTCCTGGATTTGCTCATTCGACTCTGCGAAGGGAACGTCTCCGTCGCCAAGAAAAACATCGATTCATGGGGTACGTCTAAGTAATAAACTACCATGCGATGAGGGCTCTACTGTCGTCAATTAACCGATCGATCATAGCCTTTCGAAAACTTTTGACGCCGTGCAGATGCTCACTTCACACGATTGAGGATTTCGAGACTTCTGAGATGTAAAATCTTCGTCCACGAGGATAGAGCACATGAATGAGGTCGGTGTGCGAAAGTTTTGGAAAGGCTATTACAGTTGGAATGGAAGCGGTGGATGCAATAATTGATTTTTACTCAACGTGCATCCATCCGTATGTCCCGAGGGTAAATAAAGTGAGATCCATAGTGACAGGAGCAGGGAACTGGACCGAGAAGAAGGGGAGTTGAGCGGGCAGTTTTCTAACGGCTCTCGTGGGAGATGCGAAGATTCTTCGTCTTTTCAGCGACGTCACGGGCATCCTTGATGGCTTCGATGGTCTTCGAGCAGTCACAAATCTCTGAGCATATTCCCCTGAGAGAGCATATTTCCTTTCTTTTCTTCTCTTTTTTTTTTTTTACCACTATCCTATTTTCGTAAACTTTATCTGCCCTTTTCCTGGACACAGGGCAAGGAGCGTTCAGGTAACAGTTCCTTGAACGCTCTTCCGTAAACAGATCATAATTCGCTTGCAGGTCACAGAAAGAGAATACAGTAAGTAACTCCCAAAAATACAAAATGTTTACATTCGTGTACACCATAGTTATTAAGCATGCCAAGCTTGGCTTGCCAACTCTGGCTCGTTTTCTGGTGCCTGGGGTCTTCCATAATGTGCAAAATTTTCTCCTTACTCCTCTCTCGCAGAGGAAAGTATTAGCGAAATGAATCCTAACTTCTCGGTAGAAACATGAAGAACGCAATGCTCGTTTCGCATTGAAGTTGAAGCGTGTTGAAATTAGACTGGCAAATGTCGATAAAACCTCCAATATAAAAATGTTTTGAAGACCTGGAACATCGAAGGATACTCATCATGAACCATCCGAAGCATCGGACTCTGATGTGCTATCATATCGTATTTTCAGAAGGGAAGGCGAGAGATGCTTGTGGCTGCGACACAATCATGGTTTCCCCAAATACGAAATTATAGGAAAGTTGGAATCATTATCGGATTGCATGGAAAGGGAAAGAGGAAGCCCAATAACATTTCCTCATTTGCTGTCAATGATCCTTCCCTTAATTTTGTATGAAGTATCAACTCGGCACGTTTTCTTGGAGGAGAGCAGATGGAAGGCGACTCGAACGGTAGCATCAACGATTGACGGCAGGTGGGCGTAGCCGAGCCATGTATTGTTAAAGCGCGCCAGCTACGTAATTTACGTACAGGTATATCGCTACTCTCTGGAATCGACATCGAAATGGAAATTCATCGTTCGATCCACATGAGGTTCACTCGGAGGATTTTTTCGGGAGCCGATTCGATTTCGGTATATTGCTATACTTTTTCTCTCGGCCACTAAATCGCATGTTTGCAGTCTCGAGTCGAATCGGCCTTTGACATTCTTTAATCGACGTGGATTTCTACGGTGTAACAGATAGGTACAGGTGGGACCATCTGGGGATGGGTCTCATCCCGCGGACCGGTGGAGAAGGAATGGTGAAACGCCAAGACGGGATCGTGACCATGTGTTGCTGGCATGCCTGCAGCGTCGAGGAGCTCATGCAGTTCTGCGGGTAACGGCCAACCGACCCTTCTGCTCGTTCTCCGACTTTTCCCCCTGTCGTCGTCGTTACGCAGTACCTATATCTTTGTGATCATCACCCTCCCCGACATGCATGTAACATAAACCTTCCTTTCTTTCTTTCCTCGATCGGTTCGATTCTTCAATCTTTTGCTGACGTATTCCAACTCTTGTTTGCACGACTACCGTGCGCACCAAACCGGCTTTCCAAGCCCAACTGGCCATTGGGAAATAAAGTTTCTCTGAAACTTCGACGTTGCAGATGAATTTTTTACTTTTTTCCTGCGAAAATTCCTTCTCATGCAGGAAAACGATGACCCAACCCTTTGAAAGATAAATCATGAATGATAACTAGTCGATAGCAGGCATCGGAACGAACGCACGCGAATGGTTCATGTGTGGGGGGTTGTGTTTATGTTCTTGTTACCATAGCTACCTTAGGCCTATGCAGCGCGCGACCATTACATGCACACTCACTTCCGTATATTGCGTTGTCAGGTGAAGACGGTAGATGCACGCATTCTGACATCGATTTCGTTCCTCTTTCACGTGAGTGCAATTTTATTCATTTCTCAAGGATTTTCCAAATCGAGAAAGAAGTTTTAAGCTAATCCTTCCCATCGAGGTGATATCATAACTAGAAAATGTTTTTGCGACGATCGGATTGATGAGGAAACCAAATCTGTTCCAGAAAGGAAGGGCAAAAAGGGGAAAAATAGTAGGGGTATCGGGTTCGCTACTCATCAATTGCGAAAGGAAAGACGAGATACGACGTCCTACGCGGGCGTTAAAGTTTCCGCAATCGTTGTCATCTGTCGATGGCGAGAAGGAAGCCGAAATAATGAAACCAATAAGCTTTAAAACTTTTCGTAAGGCATGCAGGTCGTAGACTTTTTTGCTTCGGTGCGTCTAGGCGGATAACTTTGCCATCTTAGCTCATCCATTCCTCTTCCCACGCCTCGCTAACGACCGAAGAGATGCGAAAGTGTGCGCTATCGGTGAGTCATATCCCGTCTCCACATCGCCATCTCATCTAGACGCACGGTGGGAAAGGGATGTGAAAGTTCGAACCACCTCGTGAACCGTACGAGTACGTGACGATGTGTATGTTTTTTGTGCGGATGGGGGCATGCTCTCGACTTGTACCGAGTAATCAGCAATCAACGAAAAGGAAAGAACATCGAAAGGAAGGAAAAATGTTCACAAGACAATCGCCGAGGATGAGGTCAAACGGATCCATTTGTCTCTTGAGTAAACGAAACCCTAAGGACTACTTGCTTCGTCGATGCCATGTGAAAAGAATTTATGTGGGATGATAAAAAAAAGTTCTAAGCCTGCGGCGCTTCCAGTCACAATAAACCTTTCATACTCTTTTCTTGAGAAGACACATTTCTTTGATGGTGACTGGCAAATTTTCAGCATATTTGTCACTTAAGACAGCTTCTATGAATTTCTTTCATTGTGCTACCAAATGGTCTGCTGAAGGGCTATTAAAATTGAGGGTAGTGCTGTGATGAATTTTCTAACCTTTGAGCAGATCTCTCTGCAGATCTGGCTTGATTTGGAGCCAAAATTGATGGCAAAAAAGAGAGAATGTAATTTTGAAGTCTTATTCTGAAAGGCTTATTTTCTTTTTTCTCTACCTTCTCCAGTAAGGCGTTGCATTGAGTGATCTCAGCATCCTTATTTGACGGCTCAAGATCACTGGAGCAATAGTGAAGCACATATCAGAATAGGCATGGGACTCCACCGTAAAAGACACCAAGCTAAGGATATAGGTCCATCAAAGTTCCATTTCTTTTCTATTCCAATGTGAAGTTTTTTTTATGAGGCCTGGCAATTTTAAGGTTTGGATCCCTGGAAGGGTCATGCTGGAAATCATATCATGTGGGTTTCCCAAGGTCATTACTTATTTCGTTTGAAGCAGATGTATTTTAAATTGACTTTACGAATGCATGTGAGGTGTGGTTCCGTCCGCGCCAGGTGTCACAAGAGCCTTAGCATCATCTTCAACTCAATTTGCGAATAATGCGTTCTTTACAAAAGTTGTGATACTCTTGTGATACTCATTGATATAATGGAAATGCAAATCTGGAGACACTGAATAGGACTACCGGAGTAGATGCCAGCATGGATTCTTCCATTCTAAATTTGTGGATTCCCATTTATCACATAAATGTGACTACAAGAGCAAATGACTTTAGGTTTCCTGAAATATCACGTCCGACACTTTTCTTCACATGCAGATATACCTCTACCAAAATCGAGTATGCAAGACTTAGGCTTATGGAATTTTCGGTCGCTATTGCAGCCTGATGTTAATTCGTCATCTGCGAAACCGTCTAAAATGGTCTTGGACACTTCGTCTTGAGCAGAATGTTGCATGGGCGTTTGGTCCTTGCATCTTGCATCTTGCAGTAGACGTTGATCGGCGCAGACACGGATCCCGTTGTTTACTTCGAGGAAACGTACGTGGGAGGGACCAAGAGAAGAGGACGTAGAACAGAGCCCCGTTCGCAATGCAGATGTGGAATTTCTACTAGCGTGCAATCGTGGACCTTCCAAGGACGAATTATCACTTGGAAGAGTGGAAACCTTTGTTGGATGACTGTCATGCATGCCTCCTTCACGGACAAAGTTAATAAGAGCAAACGCATCGAATAAGGAGGTCAAGCAGGGCCGGATTAAAAAGTTGCGAGGCCCGGGACAAGTGGATTCTTGAGGCTACCCCACTCCCCTCGCTACTTTACGGCAATATTTAACGTTTTTAATTTCCTTCAGGGGTCAGAGTGGGGCCCGGGCAACAGCCCCCTTTGTCCCATCAGCGGGTTTGATTACTTTACCTCCAGAGACAAGAGTAGGAGCCCAATCTGCACCTAGTGGGGCAATTGCATTATTTTTTGTATCATATATTGTAGCTACATAATCTGTTTGTAAATCTCTCATCCCTTTCATATTCATATTTCATATTCAGGTAGATAACTTATTGAGTGGCCCCCCTATTAATCCGGCCCCCAGGTCATACTCTGGAAGTGGAATTCTCCTCGGAGGACAAATGGTGGAGCCGATGAGGAGGAAATGGAGCAATTTGATCATGCCCATCAGTCACGAACAGTCATATTCCTAGTGTTGATGAACTTCGGAAAAAGAACAAGCTTTCCTCCGTGCGTGGCTCGCAATTTTAATTTCTGACTTAATAATTATTCATGAACTGCAATTGACGACGGAGCTTAATTTTTTCGGGCTGAGTTCGTCTGTATCGTGCTTAGGCTGAGAATTGATCCTTTGAAATTATCTGAGCCCACGCAATGCTCTCGTGACAAGGAAAGTGCGACAATCGGTGTCTGCACCTAAACTATACCTCAACTGTAGATGCTTGCGACTTCGCGTCTACCACGAACTGTCCCCGGCCATTTTGGCTTGACGAAAACATACGGTAAAAAAATATATACAAGGACGATCGTGACTAAGTGACTGACGCTAACTTATAATTAATACGAGGGCCACTCAATAAGTTATCTACCTGAATATGAAATATGAATATGAAAGGGATGAGCAACAGGCCTGTGCCTGCTGTGACATGTCTCGACAGGTCTCGTGAGTACCCCACCACTATACCAGCTCAGTGGCTCAAGTCCGTTCAAAGTGGTAGCGCATTAGATTTCTTTTCCTGAGTCTGTAGTCATGGATTTCACGAAAGTTGAACATCGTTCAGTGATCAAATTCCTCACCAAAGAAGGGAAAGCACCTAAGGAGATTCATGAACGTATGTCTAACGTTTATGGTGTGTCTTCGCCTTCTTATTACCAAGTTAAATTTTGGAGCAAGCAGTTTAAGTGGGGAAGAGAGTCAATTGAAGATTACCCAAGGTCGGGGCGCACTGTGGAGGCTTCTGATGAGGAAATGTGTGACAAATTGGAGAGTGCGATACTGGAGGATCGTCGCACCAAAGTCTCTGTTTTAGCTCATGAACTGGGGATTTCAGAGGGCACAGTGATTCACACCATTCATGAAAAATTACACATGTCCAAAGTCAGTTCTCGATGGGTCCCAAGAATGCTGACTCCAGCTCAGAAGAAGAACAGATCTGACATCTGCAAGGAAAACTTGGAGTTTTCTAAACAAATCGGGGAAACTTTTTTTCTCAGAATAGTAACTGGTGATGAAACTTGGGTTCATCACTGGGATCCCGAAACCAAACAGGAGTCCATACAGTGGAAGCACAAGGGATTGCCAACGCCTCGCAAATTTCGTGTTCAGAAATCTGCAGGAAAGATTATGG